CACATGATTTGAAATTGGTTAAAGCTTAGTAAAGGTATCTTGTTGATGTTTGAAATTACTGTTGTATTTTTATTACAGTGGTTATAAACATGAGGATGTATTATTATGTTCATCAAATCAAATTGTCTTGAAATCAGATAAGCTTATTTTAGCTTAACAGATATGGTACCTAATGGCAAAATATTCTAATAACATAAATCCTTTTTCTTTTTTTTCTTTTTTTTTTATTGTTTGGATGTTCATACTATTCAAACGACATAAATGAAATTATCATATGTTTTAAATAATAAACATGTTTTCATTAGTTGTCAATAGATTTACACAAGATAAATGAAGAATTACTTCATATCTTAAAAAGAAGCAAAGAGGTGACATACTGATCATCTCTAGTCAACGTCAGCAACCTACAAAGTAGGAAATATCCAGATTATCACTATAAAAAATATATGCCAAAAGTTTTTGCCAAGATACATGTTTTCTAGCTAGAAAATATTTCTTTTGCAGAATGTGTGAATGGCAAACAGCAGATGATATTTTTTATAATAAATAAAGGGTAAACTAAAAATTAATTTTCAAAAATCCAAAGCTAGCTGAATATATGAAGATCAATGTCATTTTGGAAATGGAAGTTCTCAGAGTATAAACTAGAGAGCTTTCTTTCTTTTACTTGCTTGATGATTATACCACCACATATAGGAGAATGCATGTAAGAACACTATACTAGTCAACTGGTCAAATTTAATTTACGAACTAGATTAAGTAACATGCAAATACCAATAATTCCCCAGCTCTAAACAGGGGTGACACAGTGTCATCCTGCTACCCCATATAAGGTTAAGTTGGCTACAGCTCTTTTAATTGGCACCAATAGGGTTCTCTTACAATGCAAACTTACCGCATACAGCTATATAAATATTGCACATAGCAACAAATGTGTGTCATGTACATAAACAGCATGTTTTTACTTAACATATGAAAACATGATTATTGTTCTACATAACATAGTTTTAAACTATTTGTGAATAATTTATTTCATTTATATGGATTACCTGTGAAATAAAAGTGGTGTTCACTCTAATATAAACTAGAAGTTATGATGACATTATCAATAAATTATGAAAATTAGTATTTTCAAAGGTTTGTTCAGTAATGTGTCAGAATCTACCCTTTGTTACAGCCCCTAGTAAAAATTAAAATTTTTAGTTTTCCAAGAATGTAGGAAGACATAAAAACAAGTAATCAAAATCTCCAACAAGTATAAAAACATATCATAAGGAAATACTTTACTTTCAAAGCTACAAATATCCCAAGTGAGTATATTTGTACAAGCTACATGCTCTGCAGAGAGTTCATCTGCAAGTTTCAAACTGTTTCATCCAGTAGACTTATAAGACTTGCGAAACTAAATGAGTGTGATAAGTAGTACTGAAAATAGTGTTTTTATTGGTTGACGAATAAGTGCTGAAAAAGGAAATAGGATTTTATAAGCATGTGCTCAAATAACATCATTGTACACCTATGCCGCTAAATTCCAAATACCACTAAAGGATTACCAATATTTAAAGAATTGCAAAGTTTATTGTATTGGCATTGAACCACGTAATAAATATTGTGACAGATTCAAAGTGAAGTGTTGTTACTCTGGAAAAGTCTTAAGTCGATAAATTACACATCCTGCTGTCAGCATGAACATTTTCACTGATTGTAAGTGCAATGTAATTACTCTGAATTTTACAAGAAAACATTTTAATACATATAATCTGATACATTAGACATCCTGTTCTTGGAGCAGGGGTCGAGTTAGCTATCCGCTATCTTTTCATGCTTGCTTTGTTGCTATCAAGGGTATCATATTACAGTGGTGTCACAAACAGTCTACTGACACATGGTGCGATTTATTGCTTTATTTTCAGTGGGGTTCTACTTTAGTTATTAACAGTAAAATAAACACAGAAAATAAATGTGAAATGTTTTGCATGTTCAAACTCTTAACAGAAGTACTTTGAAACTTTATGACCAATGATAATGAAAAAAAGAGCACAACTGCTCATTTTATTTCTAATTTTACAACTTGTCTTTTCATTATACTTTGAAGATTTGTCTACATGCTGAAGAATCAAGTATATCTTTAAATAACTGATAAGATATAAAGTTTTACTGAAAACAGGCATTTGAAATGTACTTAGGAGGTTCTAGAAATTACACAAATGAAATTTGAGATTTTTGGGACAAAAAAAATAGTACTTTTAATCATAACATGAAAATCACTTCTCACTTGGACTAGTAACAAAACAGACTCGATATATTCACAAACAAATCTTTAGTAAAAATATTCCCTTAAAAAAAATCTAATTTTTTGTGTACAAAAGAATTGTAATGTTTACTAAAAGTCTATCAAATTTTGTGAAGATGTGCTTACTCTATTACAAGCTACGGTATAAATATTTAATATGTACAAATGTGTATAGAACTCGTGTATTTTATACCAAGCCCGCCCGTTGTGACAGGATTAATTTTTAACATCTTTTCATGTTATATGTTCTGTTTCAGAGTTATAGAAATATTATTCTATGAGAAGTTATCAGGTAAGAATAAAGAAGGTTATTATACTGTAAGCTAGGAAATCTGTGATGGCAAACTATTCAGATGATGCAAAATTCTTTGTTTGTATTAGTAGAATTATAATCCCACAAGTTAAACACCAATGTAGAACTTCTTAGTTATTGAAACAATTATTATAGAAAAATTGAGTTATCCAAAAATATAGTTAGAAAAATGTTATTTATAAACAGGAGTAAGATGCATGTTCAAGTTATGTTTCTTTTACCAATCAGTGTTTTACTCTAATTTCATGCTTCACACAGGCTAATGGTGCAGGACCAAACTCTCAGTTTTCAAGAATCTAATTAACTTATTTTAACGAACATAAACTCCACCAACATTAAATAAGTAATGTTTTATTAGATTTTATAAAAAATGAAGCAACAGGTGTACAAAATGTTCAAGTAATAACACATACAACAAAATGAAAGTAAGAAAGAAAATACATTAACCCCCCACATCTTTTCCTTGCATACATTTGCATTGCACGTGGTTAGTATTCTACAACTGATCTAGCAGGTAATTACAATAAGTAATGATACTGGATTCATTTTGAACTTCCCTGGTATATTTTGAATATCACCTGATTTAACAAAAATAAAAACTTTTTCAAGAGGAAAAGGTAATTATGAAACAAGCTGTTAAAAGAAATTATGAATGACCACATGTTACTGATTAAACCACTAACAAATTCATCATTTACAGTCCCATATATATATTTTAACTTTTCCAACTTCAGTTTAATACAAACACTAAACAAAGTTATATAATTATTTTTAAGCACTATATATTATCTATAAAGTGTGTACCAAATTTCATTCAAGTTAGTTGCTATATTAAGTGCAAGAATAGAAAGAACAGTGGTGATAGTGACACCCTGCAAGTTCAGAAAGGGTTAAATTCTTTAGTTCCCCAAACATCCTTCTATCTAACCTGTTTTAGTGGAGCCCACCTCTAACATATAATTCACCCTTACCCTGAAATCCATCCCATGGGTCCAAACAGCTCATCTGTTGCTCTAAGCATATCCCAGATAATCTTCATTTAAACCTTGGATCTTGCTAAGTAATTCATTCCCACATCTACCTGAGGGAACATGCCTAAATGGGTCACACATCTATTTCTCTCCCTTAACTTCTAAAGGAGTTGTCTCTTCTTTTTAAGCAGCTCTTCTGATTTACAGTTTCCATCATCATTCATTCCCACATGCACTACAAAAAGAGAATGCTCCTTGGTACCAGGAAAATTTAATTTCTTTATAACATGAAAAACATTCTTTCCAGCACAAAAACATGACCGTGTCTTTCACATAAGTATAAAAAATTAAGAAATATTCTGTTGTTTGTTTTCAAATACGGTCACAGTAAAGCAATGATTCAAGTCCCTGCACAACTTATATTTGTAGGATTATTAAAACCCATGTGGTTCCACACTTCAAACACTTCCCATTTGAAAAGAAAAAGCATTATTATTTTTTTAAAAAAAAGGTGTTAAACGTGTAAGAGCTAATACAAAAACACATCACTAAAATTTAAGGTTATTTTGTGTGCCACTGATTAAGTGGAGATTAATCACTCATACTCATTGTTGACAAGTTCCAAAAAATTGCAACCTAATTTTATCAAAACATCAGGCATTTCACTTTCAGTTTAAGATTGTGTATTTATTAAGAATTTTTTTTTTTTATTAATCATGTGAATTAGTTCCATCAGTAAGTCTACTGCAATTGTGCCATACCTCTGATATTGCAATTACAGAAAACGTTTTAATGTTTTTTGGTTTACTCCAACTTCTAAAGTAATAAATAAATAAATAAATAAATATATATATATATATATATATATACACACACACACACACACGATATGTACCCTAACACTAACAGAAACAACCTTAACGGTTAACCCTCGTGTATAACTGTATTCCGAATCGCAATGATCGTCTTTCGTCACAGCTTAAGCTTTCACTATTTCAGTGCATAACTTGAGAGTCGCACATACTGCATTTAATAACCAGTTTAGCTCAACGCGCGCCCTCACAGCTCGCACACACTGACAGTACACGCAAGTGTATATAGCAGGTTAGGCTTATATTTTGATCTTTCTTTGCCCTAACTAGACTAACTTGCTACCTCATCGAGCACTCAAAACTTCATTCTTGGACATATTATTACTATAACTGATTACTAGAAAACCACGATTAATCACATTTTTTATGTTTTTAGATGTGCTAATTAATTTATTTATATAAAACAGCTTTTGTAAGCGCAGTGAAAGTCAAAGACTTAAAACATCCATGATGGCTGTCCTTGAACGAAACGATACCAGGATACTGTAATAGCTTATAACATGTTAGTGTTTTGTTAGAAAAAACAATATTAAAAAATAATAGGACAGTACCCTTTACTGATGAACTCTGCTGTCTCCAAAAAGCCTTGCGGCATAAGATGGTCCTCGACACACATAATAATTCCAGATTTTGTGTCGAAGAAATGGACCTGTTAAATATCACTGATTGCGCACCATGGCAAGGACGCCTTGTACGCTAGAAGGTTCAAATTTATCAACGTCATTGGTTGGTTTAGACCACGTGACCTATACCTTCACAGTTTTGTTAAATAACTTGTAATTTTATAGTTTATTCGAAACTCGGACATGCTTAGAATGAATGGTTTTATGTCAATGTTTCAATTCAAACCGCTATGTTTCCCGCTAAATAACAAAAAATCATGTACATACTACTAACACCGCAAGCCTACCGCCTTGGTAGTTATGATTTCCAGATTACAGTGTTGTTTGTGCCGTCAACGCTTTTACGGTCACATGACTTCAAATATTTTGTTGATTACTTTATACTACTTGTATAAACAAATTATCAAATTTAGAAAATATTCGATTAATTTTTACAAGTAATTCAAATAAGTTATAACAAATGTTGTCCTTCTATTAGATATTTTAACCAATCCTTGGTATTCCCATCACTAGGTGAGAAAATTATGAGGGATCGCTCTTATAATTTTTAAACTTTTTGTAGTAGAAAAATACAAACACGTAGACGTTAATAACTATTTAGCAAGAAATATTTGATTGCTTGCGTATAGTCCATGAAAAATTACGGAACAAGTCCTACCACCCCTATCCCATAATATACCCTAACCTTACATTTCGTAGCTAAATGAAATAAGTAAATTTTGCGAAATCAAACTTGACCAACAAAGAGCCAGAACGGTGCAGTCGAGGCAACCAAAGGTCGGTAAATTTCTTTGTGAGCCAATCAAAATTAAGATCATTCATGAAATGAATTCGTGGCGTATTCGTAGAATAATTATTGGTAAAAATCAGTTAGATTAACAATTTCTAATATATAGAAAAGCCAGTGCGTTTTAGTAACCCTACGTTCCAATAATGGCTTTTATGCCATGTTGCTTGGCAACAAAAGTATCACCTAATATTGTTATTAATCTATGTACTGAAAATAATGGTTGG